ATTTTTAAAATACAGATTGGGCAAACAGAAATTAATGTTGAAATTGCTGCTACAGGAGACTACAGCATTTCAAATAAAAGATCTCTAGGATATTTAATACTGAACAAAATTTAATTTGAGCAAAACACTTTTCCTTAACTCCATTTCCAAAACAGTAGAACTGTTCTGTATGAATTTCACACTGTACACAGCTAAACAACAGAAAGAAAATGAACTATACTGAAGGACAACGCTGATAAAGACCACACTGACACAAAGATATAGAAAACCAACAAGCAGATGGAAAACTAGAAGACCGCTGAAGCTGTGGACCCTGAGCAGCCTTCTGAAGCAGGAAGGACAAAGTAGCAAATCAAAATAAGCTGGCCAATACCCAAATACCCTCCTTATAAAGAGGGCAGGGGGAAAAGATACAATACCTGCACGGAATCAAGGTGCAATGCTATCCTCTCAAGAGCAGAGTTTTTGATAACCAGCCAACTGAGGAAATCCCAATGCAGTAGTGTTTGAAAGCAATCCAGTGAGAATCTTTCTAGCAAGAATACTGTCAAAAGCTGCTGCCTCCATTTAAAGATTGGGCAAATTTCTCAGCCACAAATCGTATCTGTGAAATGCTGACATCTTTCCCAAATTTATTTAAGTGGAGCAAGAGGATCACCTCCTGGGTATGCAACCTAAGCTGCTCTAATACAGGCAATATTAAACTCCCCTGTCGCAGACCACAACAGCTATCAGCCATTTACAGATGGACTTTTCCCTAACAGCAGTTTCTAATGGACTGATATCAAATAAGGCAGAAAGTTGGGAGGACTTATTAATGCCTTTATTAGTCCACTCCAAGTGGAACCTCAAGAACCTTTCAACTTCAAGTTCAAAGGAGGACCTTGCCAAGAAGGATGTGTGGGCATGGGAAAAGTGTTGCTGGGATTATTGGCTCATTAGAGGTGACCTAAAAAGGAAAAGAGAATTGGATTTGTGCCCCTTCATGTTTCTTGATGATATAGAAAGAATTTTTCTGAAGATTTTTCCTGCTTATTCTACATTAGAGATTTTACACCTAGAAAGTGGATGGAATATGGTGCTCTGCGTGCTGCAAAAGCAAAGCTTGATGAGTAGAGAGGGATCCCATTATTAAAATGCTTTAATAACTATTTAAGGCAAAGACATCAATAAAGGGAAGGGAGATGCTATTTTGTTCAATCTTTAACAAATCTGCTCCTTCAGTAAAGTCATCGCTTTCCTACTGAACCCACAGCAAAACCCAGCAAAATAAGGAATCAGCCAGCAAAAACAAATATTACACATTTTATCATTTTTATGTCCCATTATTCAGTCACCATGAACAGAAAAAAAAGTCAAACATTTTCTTTGAAATGTCTGCCAAAGGTAAAAGTATCTAGGAAGACAACTAGAAAGAGTCAAAATACTCTCTTCTACCCTTACATAATCCTGGTATAAAATGAGACTGTTAATTAATAAAATTGGTTAATAAAATCTCTTCTCCAATATTCTTTCTTCACCAAAAAGTGGTACTGCACACAAAATATAACTGGTCTGAGGTCAGTTCAGACCATCTGGCCTTCTACAAACTTAGGACGAGGCTCAGGAGAAATCACCTTCATGCTATGGGCTTCATTCCACACCCCTGTGACAAACCTTGGAAAACTCCCATCCACTGAGGCCATGGATGGCAAAGGCCGTGGCTCACGGTGCAGCCAACACCAGATGTTCAGCCCTTGCCAAACCCCAGAAGGGTTAGGCTGCAACTTGGCACTGCAGTTTGAGAAGTAGGTGCCAAGAGATTAAAAGCTGAAACCCAGGCAGTTCCACCTCCATATGAGGAAGAACTTCTTTCTTGTGAGGGTGCCAGAGCCCTGGCACAGGCTGCCCAGAGAGGCTGTGGAGGCTCCTTCTCTGCAGATCTTCCAACCCGCCTGGATGCCGCCCTGTGCCCCGTGCTCTGGGTGTCTCTGCTGGAGCAGGGGGTTGGACTAGATGATCTCTAGAGGTGTCTTATTGATGCAGGAACACCTCCTGCATCAATAAAGAAACAAAAAAAGAAGTATTTACAAGCAGCTTCTAGTTTCCCTAAAGAGAACAGAAGTTTTTCTAGGTTTCTGCAGATTCTTTGCTATCTTCCAGGCTGCTTGAAGATAAGGGAAGTAGCTCTTAGGACTAACATGCAGATCAAGAGACACTTCTAGCAAATACCAGGACAGGTCAAGAGCCTCTTCAGTAACTGCAGTGCCCTTCACTCAGACAGGGCTAACAGCAGCTACAGAAGAGTAAGTTACACCACAAATCCCAGCATCATGCAGTAACATGGCTGTTACTGCTGTTGCTCTGGCCACATTCTTGGGAAAGAGACACACATACACCATACATAAAGCTGAATATGTCTCTCTGTATGGCGGTGGTAGGGAGACTACTGTTCAGGTAAGTGGTAAGAAAATAAAGAAACACAAGATCTTCTCCAAACCTCAATATTCCGAAGTCAAAGACAGAAGGTCACGGTGCTCGTCCTGGCAGAGGATTCCCAATCCTCCCTAGCAGTCCACCGACAGTGTTCCTGGAGCCTGCATTCTTGCCTGTCTCCTACCTAATGGCTCGGTGACATCTTAAGTGACATCCAACAACACCTATCACGCTACAGCGGCGAACACAGCTTTGTGGTGCTGGAAATGTGGCTATGGTAAAAAAAATTCTCCTTCCTTCTCTACAGGGGATACAAATATCTCTACAATATTTACAGAATACTGAAGATAGAGATTTTTTTTTCCTGTAATAGAAACACAAGGAAAATAAACCAAAACTACAGAAGCATTCATAAAGTTTCATCACTGATCTAAAGGAGTGTCCTGAAGCACATCCTCCCAGCTCCCAAAATAAAAACCACCCAAAACCCACAAAGGCTCAGGGCTTCCAATGCCTCAAACTAAAGCTTTATCACAAAAAACCCTCTGAGAATTCATTAATTACTGTAAAAAAATGTATCCATTACCTTAGCAAAAGATGGACAGCAAAACAGTAATGTATAAAACAGACATTAAAAAAAATGGTAAGAAAACACACAACAAACAGAACTCAAACAAGGCATTTGAGCCCAAAACACAACACACAAATACTGCCTCTATCTCAGGCACTGAACAATTGCAGCGTTGCAGGGCTAAGGTCTATGGCACATAATGATGAGCAAAAATAAAAGCAGTGACCAGATGGAAGAAGGGGAAGCCACAAGAGAACAGGCAGCCTGGAGAAGATCATGGGTTGAAGATGAATAGCATCTGAAAGAAGTAACTCAGCTTTCAGGGCAGATGTGAGAAGTCTCACTCTTGGAGATAAGGAACATGCTAGCTCTGAAAACATGCTGCAACCATAGCAAATAAAGCAGAATTCAAAAGAATCCATTTTAAGTTTTTTTTTTTTCTCCCCCACTACTTTTACCAGTACTAAAACTAGAGGAGTTTCAGTGTTTTTACAAAACAGGAAGCACTGCTCTGTGCTGCCATTGAACCTTTAAGGGTTGCTGGAAATAAAGGAGACACTGCCCATGGCTGAGCCTGTGTCCCACCGCGTGAGCCCTAACTCTTCCTCCATGCAGGACCTGCTGCACACACGATGCAGGGCCCCAGCAGCAAGGAAAGGCAGCAGAGCTCCCTGACAAGGCTGTACAAAACGTTATGTTTCCCTAGCAAAGCCAGGGCAAAGCCTAGCTGCAGCTACCGAGTCTCACAAACTAAAAGCCCCAAATGCCTTCCACTCACACAGCAATGCCACTGCTTGCTGGAAACCAGCATTTCTTAACATTTGGCCCATCTGTCACCACAATCAGCCTATAGAACTTGAGCTGTAATTGCTAAGTTTCAATTATCTCAAATTACAAGCTAGCAAAACAATCAAGTTCCATAAATACTTTGATTAGTTTTTCAAACTCATGTTTTGTCTCATTTAAAAGATTTGAATGGCTTGTGGTTTGTGCGATTAATTCATCTTCAAAAAGTCACTGCAATTCATCTTTAAAAAAATAGCAGGTTTAACTGAAAGGCACCTAAAATATAAAATTAGAAAGCATAAAACCCTCAAATCTTAAGTTTTATTTTTCTAACAGGAATATTACTGTTGCAGTAAAATTCAGAAGTATAAGCAGCACATATTTATATTTCAGCTGCAAACCAGATAGAAAAAGCAGAGGAAACCTCTGCAGAAGCATGACACTCAAAGACATGCTATTTTTAAGTCATAAAAAAGCAGAAAACAAATAGCAAGCATTATACAGATGCCCTAGTACCTTTGTCAGACTATACACCTGCATAAACATTTAGCCTAACATAAAATTTATAAATGAAGCAGCCCACCACTTTACAAAATAAAGCAACAGCAAATTGAGACTTCTTGCCAAGAGTTCTGTCCTGAATACTAATGTGTTATTGATACTTTAGGACTAAAAAGCAGCAATATTTCAGGACTCTAAACAAGCATAATACATCTGCCACAGGAAGATCTTAACAAGTCTTGATAAAGCCTTATTGCTAAAAATTTGTATTATCAGACTGCTTTTGTAGCAGAGGCAAAAGCACAGCTTCCTGGCTCACACATTTTTTTTCTGTGCTTATTCTAATGATACACATTCAATTACGACAGAAAAGAAAAGAATCAAATCAGAAACATCTGTAGTTTGCCGTATAATTACTGGATCTTCCCCATGGAGACTGACCTTTGTAACACTGCTACTAAGACCTGAAAGGCTAAATGACAGGATATTCACATGGTTTAAATGTATAACATGATTACAAGGAATTAAATAGGCACTGTTATTTTCCAACCTTGTTTATGTTAACATAAGCGTGTACTTTATGATCTTATGTTTAATCTTTGTGCTTAGTGTGTAATAGCTGAATTTACTCACTATTAGTGGATCCAAACCACTAAAATGCAATGTTTTTATTATATAATAAAGTTGAATGCTGTATTTGAGGTTAATATGCAGCCATTACTTTTACCTGTAATAGGAATTGCTTCTACCACGCTTTCTTCCTTGCTCTCATCTTCACACCAGCTTGTGACTTCTGTATGTGAACACACAATAATGAAACACATTTCAAAGTCAGAGCGATCAGACTGGTTTGTTTTCTTTTAAGCCCTACTCCCTTTAATTTTTCCACTTTTTTATCTCTTGTTTATTGATCTAAACTATCTATTACAGTTCTTAAAAGAGGAGCCTACTGTGAACTTTACTCATAGATGATGCTACTGTGTCTCTCTGTAGCTTCCAGAGAAAAGGATAAGCTACCCAAATGTCTTAAATTATTTAAGAAGCAAGGAGATTTAAGAAACAACCAACAGTAACTCTGCAATCTTGTCCAGTAGCCCGACAGCAATAGCATATATCATACCAACCGCAGAAAATTAGTTTAAATCAAAGTCTCCATCTCCTCCACGGATAAAAGTGGCAGGAATTTAGGAGGCCTAAATCAGTTTGTTTACATGCACTGGGTAAAAAGCATTGCAACCTAATTGCCTGTCTCCTGCAGACTTTGAAGTGAGGGACACACTGAGAGCACACTGAGCAAGTCACCCTCACCCAGTTATTAACACAGACTCATCTGCAACTCCCTCCTTGAAAGGAATTAGCTGCATTTGCAAACATTCAGCCTTTAAGTTGAGGAAAGCAAAAAATCCTACCTTCCTTTGTATAAATCCTATTCTTTTTGAAAATTTATTCTGCAGTCTGGCTTTACAATAAAATTTGTCATATGGTGTATTTGTGTTCTAATTGGTGGACTTTTTAGAATACATGTATATGCATGGCTCCATCTTTAGTAATTGCCTCAGTATCTGCTTTTTCTGGTGAAAAAGAGGCATCATTTAAAAGGAGCAAAAAGAATGATTACTGCAGAGATACCTAAATGCATCACTCAAAAATGCATTAAGATACTATTTTTATGTATATGTATCTATAAACACAGCTTCCTATTGGTTTTGATAGACTCGTTCACATCTCTCAATGTTTGTCACCTTGTTTCCTTGCACCAGGGCTGTGGGGCCTGCGAGGAGCATGTTCTGCCGCCGCGGCTTCACCCTGGTCTTTCAGGATTGATGGCAAGCTGTAAGACGATTCCTGGCTCTGAGCAGATGACCTGTCTTCACACTCATCTGGAAGGACCTCTCTTGATAACAGCAGAGCCTACAGCATTACAAAAAATAAAAACCAGCAGCTTTATTATCCCTAGTCTCAGGCAGCAACATTTCCCAACATACATTAAAGCTAGTCTATACCTTAGAGTGTAATTTGTTTCCAGGGTGTTTTTGTGACATGTTAAATTCCCTGCGAGTTAAATCATTGCCTTGAAGTTATACAAACTAGTTGTTTTAATCACTATATTTTCCAGAAATCTTCTGTATTCTGTACCTCAGACATTCTCAGTAGACAAAATAAATGCTACAACAGGAACAGACCAAAAAATATTCTTTCCCCTCTGCATTTCTGACACACAGGCACAAGCCAAGTTAATCACACTGTTTGCAATAGTTAGGATTTAAAACAATACCTGGGTCAATACATGTGAAGCCAAAGAGCATGATGCAAAGCTTGCCAAAGCTAGCTCCTTTTAGACTCAATTCAGATTTTAATCTGTATTATTATTGCACATTCATAAAGTTTATCCTCTCTTGTCTATGCATGCTGATGCCTGCAGCAGCACTCTTCAGACCTCTATAATTAAACTTTTTTTTTTTTTTAAACTTAAAAATAAGAAAGCCAATATTTTTATAGGGAGCTGAGCATGGCATAAATATGGTTGAGTTAAAAGCATAAAAGCAGGCTTAATATCAAGCAAGCACTTCTAAGGTTATCATCTATGTGTGTCAAAAATGCCATGTGCTGCCTCAAAGCTCAATCTTGAGAACAGTTGAAAGCTTTTTCTGTTGTTTATTATTCCATCACCAACAGGAAAAGCTTTTTTTTTTTTTTTTGCATTTTTTTTCTATCTCTTTTTAACTCCCATAGTGTTATTTTGCAACAAAAACATGCACTCGATTTTTTAACATTTACTAAATTTATGCTCTGATTATCTAATTATTTGTTCTGTTATTATATGCTGTATCTTATCTAGTGAATTTTCTGACTATCTACTTTGAAATTTGTTCAACAAATAAGTCCCTTTCATTGATGCAGACTAGCACCTCAGAAATAATCCCAGTTTTTGCGACATTATTTCTGTTACCCAAGAGAGTGTCTTCAAATAAAAAGATTTGAGATGGGAAAAATATTATTCTTGCACTTCTCCCAGCAACTTCTTAATCCCATATTTATCCAGGAGCCCAGAGTAGCAGCCTTTAAGTCTTAAAGAAATAATTTTCATTGGCTTTCCTGCCTCCTCCCTGCCTTGTTTTTTTCTCTCCTCTTTAAGTTTACCTCCGTTTTGGGAAATGATAAAAACAAGAACAAGCTGTTTCATCCCAAAATGGCATGTCTTAAACACATCTTAAATTAGAGGTAGGCTTGGGAAATGTTAATTTCTTAAGAAATTAATTCCCACTTAACAGTTTAGCTCAATGCAAGTTCATTCCCATTTAGCAACTGAGCTCCACGCAAAGTTTCCCATACCAGAATTCACTCATTCACCTAGTTGTAGCATCACTTAACATCTAAATAGACATGAAGCCTTGTCAATAAGTCGTAAGTGTCAGCTTTAATACCATAATTAATCAGGATCAAAGAGCCTCTTGGCAAGAACCTTCTTTGCTGAAAATATGTCAGGAGGGCCAAGGTTTGACATTCCAAGTAACAGGAGCCAGACCCATTCCAGGCACTCTGGAACATCTGCACTGGGGTGAAGATGGCCAACAAGCTGCACAGGCCACGCTGGGCTTACGCTCACGGGAGGGCAACTCAGCTGAGAGGGACACTCAAGTCCATAACCCTCACTGCCAGAAGATGTCAAAATGGAAGCGCTGCATGTACAGTCAACTCTATTCCTGTCTCATATCCTTAAGGATAGGCAACATTTTCTTCCTCACAATGGATAATACAAGAGGAGCGGTCCATGAGAAACGAAAAGATGATTGTGAGACATAAGCGAAGGGGACAGGGCATATGTAATGAAGCAGTATGAGGCCAAGACAGCACAGGCAGGTAGATATGACAGGTTGTGCCTGTAGAAAGAGGGAAACGACAGAAGCACGAGCAACAGGACCTAGGGAAAGGTGCGTAATAACGCACAGCAAGAAGCTCAAGATGCTCTTGAAGACAGTAAGACATCAGGCCTGGCAGTGAGGACCAAACACTCCCACCTCACAGACATTGCTGGGACCTAGCTGGCTGTGCTAGGAGATCTGCAGGAACTGGATGGGTCTGAGGAGATCTGCAGGAACTGGATGGGTCGGTCAAAGCCCAGCAGAGAGTCAGCTCTGCACGACGTGCATCTTCAGCTGGGATGCAAGGCTCTGCAGTGGTGCTGCCCACCACCGTATCGGGCAGGTTTAAGCCCTCACATGGGCCTCAACTTCAAGCTTCAAGATCTCAAATATTTAAGATCCTCAGGTACAGCTTGGATACGTATTTACAATCACATTATATGAATCCTTATGTTAAAGCAATTGTTTCTGTAAATACACATTATCTATTTTATACTGCTACTGTCCAGCACAGCCTGCTTGAAAATAAGAGGCTTCAAACTACATAATGCATCTCGGGATAAATTTAAGTGAAGGAATCTCGCTGAACGGACAACAAGTGTCTAATGCATAAGCCACAATTACACGTGGCAATAAACAGATTATTCCTGAATATATTGACTCATAACACACTTATGTTATTGAGCTTTCATTAAACTTGGTGAAAGATTTCACATACAGCTATAATTGTATGCACTGTATTTATCTATAACCAGCACGAGGATACACTCCTTGTTCGGATATTTTACCTGGCCATGTATTTTAAGACCTGAATACAAATTGTTTGATGAAAGAACAAGAAATTACCTTGGCTATAATCAAAAGTATACAGCTTACCAAAATATTGTATTTTCATCGTGTTTCAAGCATTGGTAAAACTAAAAATATATCAGAACAGTGCAACTGCAGTTTTATATTTGCAAGTTTTTTCCTCAATTTTTAATAAAAATTTGGTCTAGTGGCATGCTTTTTATATGCATATACACACATATGTGCATGTGTGCACACAAAATGCATGCACGTGTGCATATATTAAGCTACAGACAGTGAAAAGAAACTGCAGCAAAATTTACTCTAATCTCTGCAATATTATCCAGAGGAGATTTCACAAAGGGGGGCCAGGCCATCTTTTTAATTCTGGATTGCTTCATAGACTTATTAATTCCCAACGCAGAGGCAGTAAAGAACTTAGGTACAAATTACTTGTTCCCAGGGCTCAGCCCATACATCATGTAGGGAGCAGCCGAGCGGCCCAGCCAGATGGCAGAAAACCCCAAGTCTACCCAGGAGCCCACAACTACGACACTATTCCAGAGGAGACAAGTCGTTTGAATTCCTGCTTTCCAGGAACAATGAGGATAATGGGGATCATACCTTCCTTTGCAGAGCGCTTTGTGACGCGCAGACAAGGAGGATACATAAAACTTGAGCTCTAGCACCAGCTAAAAGGAACCCTTTAATTACGGCCTCCGCATTGTTCGGCGCTAAACATGCCCTGGACTTGCCAACGCGCGACGGCGCCTTGACAACCTGAGGGGCCGCCCCATGCGGAACGGGGCCGACCAGGGCCAACCAGGGAGCCCGGGCCAAGCACTCCGGAGCCCACGGCCGACCAGGGAGCCCAGGCCAAGCGCTCCGGAGCCCACGGCCGCGCTCCGAAGCCGGGAGGACACAATCCATCCTGCAGCCATGCCCAGCACCACACAACGCTGTTCACTCTGGATTTGTAGCAAGAGAGGTCAGGGCACTAGTTGGTCCATCAAACTGCCAACTGTTTTGTTTTTTTAAATATATATTTTTTTCAGAGTTAGTTTATAACCTTTATAAATTAACATTTAAAAGAATAAGCATACCATTTGTAAAATCCTCTATGTATTTAGTTGATTGAACACGATTCCATTTTTCAAAAGAAAAAATAGATCATTCACTATAAAAAGCTATTAAGTCACAGAGAAAGACAGATGATATAAGCCTTGTGATAAATTTGCACCACAGCAAACGTGTGAACCTATTTAAATATATGAATGGTCTGAAGGGTGGAAAACAGATATGCTCTTTAAGGTCTTCAGGATGGTATTTTCTTTGTGCAATATATAGGGTTGGGTGTACATGTATATGTGCATTTTGTGGCAAACAAACTATACACTCCCCATCCATTTTCTAATTGCTTGAAGACTGATTAGTGAATGACAACTACTTCCGTTTGGTGCTCGAAATAAAAGCAGACACTATTAAGAGCCAAGACCAATTTTAACATTGCAGTTTAGCCTCTAGGTATCATTGATTTACATATTAAATTATTACAATTGCATTATAAACACACACATCCACGTTGACTGATGTATCCCTGATCAGACAGCACACTAAGTGAGAAAGATCTTGAGAGGGGTGAAAACAAATAAATTTCTAGTCATGCACTTCAGTATTACTTGCTTCTTCAGTGCCACACTTGGTCCTCAAGTATCTTATTTTTTTTCTGCAGAATTAATGTTTCTCCTCCAAAATAAAAATAGCAAGACCAAAAAAAAAAAAAAAAAAGGCATGTGAACAATTTAATTAATAGCCTGAGAAACACTTGTTTTGGTGATCTCTTCATTTTATTCTGCCTGTAATAAGCCAGTACAGTAATGTTTGCCTGAGTACTCCATATTGTCAGAAGGCATTTATCTGCTGCAGCAAGAGTTAAGTAGGTTCTGTGGATTCCATTAGGCTTTTGATACAATACCACTGCAAAAAGCATTCTGGAAAGAGGGAGAAAAAAAAAAAAGGCCCTTGGTTGTAAATTGAGGAGTTCTTTTTGTGAAAACGTAAAAGCAGTTGAGCCTGGGGAAGTTTGACCGATCATTATATCGCTTTACGATTCCTTTGTTGATAAAGCCATACACCAGAGGCAGGGAAAGAAGTCAACATTTACCAACTGGATTGGTTGAGCACGCTGAAAAACTCAACATTTATTATTGCTAAGATCTAAACATGTGATGTGCTTTTGTAATAAGATATTACTAAACTGTAGAATTTCCTTTGCAAAAATGGACCTTTTGGGGATCTCAGTTAAGCATAAACAGAGCACTCCAAGCTTAAGATGAAGTTTAAGTGTGAAGGATTGGCCAGGCCATTTAATGACTACCAACTTCATTTAAACTGTCATTTCATCAGGATGATTCTGAAGAATCCTTTAGCTTCTGTTAAAAATAACATTTCTTGAGATATTCACAGGCTAGAAATGGAGCCAGAGACTATAAATGTTTACACACACAGGTACAGTATATAAAGAATAAAAACTACTGCCAAAAATAGAAGCTGTGAATGAGTAGTACAGCTTTTCATATTTTCTTCACCCTTGCTTCTCTACCTAAAAATAAGCAGAGCTGTTTTCTTTCATTAAGATCTTCATAAACCCTGGATAAGCTCTTAATAACAACAATAAAATAAAAAGAGCCCAGAAACAGGTACTGAAAATCACTTTTTCCAAAGAGCATCCCACAGCAGCTAACACCTCACTCAGGACATTCCTGTCCCCAGCCTGTACTCAAACACCTCCTTGGCCCACATCTGGCTGCAGCAGAGTCCCTGCAAGGGGTCACCATCTTTCTGGCAGACATGGCGGTTTATTTGGCTTTTTTTTTTTTTTTTTTTTTTTTTTTTTTTTTTTTTTATAATTTAATCTCAACTGTATGGGCATCAGCCTAATCCACCCAGCTACCCTGGTAACAGATGAGACTGAATTTACTACCCTGACTTAAAGGGAAAATTATCATTTTCAAAGACAACCACAGACTGACCTTTTCAAACACAGCCAAGGTAAGTCTTGACTTTGGACCAAATAAATAAAACCCCAAGATTTTACAGCTTGACCTTTCTCATACCGCACACACCGTGCGCAGGTGCCTTTGCGGAGCCTTCAGAAACCGAAGCAAACGCACTGCAGCTCCTCAGCTGTTGTGTCTAGTTGACAGTGACCATTATCACGCTGCTGCTCTAGAACCTTGCTGCAGGCAATATATCCCCAGACAGACTTCAGGGAGTCCTTTCAACTTTATAAAGCTGTAAGTGGTTTTAAAGGCTCATTTAAACTCAAGACTACCAGGTTTTTCTGTGAAAGGTTGTTATAGCTGGAAATCTCTTGAGACCTACCTAAGCACTGTTTTTGCACTGGTTTATGTTTAGTAAGCATCCAAGTTTCTCTTAAAAAACAACCTTTATATCTGCATTTTTGTCATCACTGAAGATGTGGAAAAGGGAAAAGAGGAAATGAGAACACACGATCAGAGGAATCGGTGCAAGGGATACGACAGGAACTGCAGACTATTAAACCTAGTAGTTCTCTGCACTAAAAAGGTCCATTTTTTATTTTCTGCTCTCTCAGAGCAGCCTGTCAGCAGCACAGGCACGCACAGAAAAGCTGACATAACTAGCAAAACAGATGGCTAAATAAGTGCTAACCTGAGCATCTCGCAGTTTTTTCTCTGAAATCAGCAAGGTATCAAACATCTTTGCAACTTCATCTGGGAGCAAAACGCGGTGCTTTTTCAGGAACAAGGCATGTTTGCTCAAACAAGCCCACAACACGGCAAGATCCAACTGCTGCTCTGACCTGAAAACCAGAAATAAGAAATAAGCACTACTGAGATGACACTTGGAAACAAGACTTACCAAATCCTGCATTCACACTCAGGCCACACTATTCATTCACTTGACCAGAGCTGGATAAAGCAGTTCAGTGTTTTACAGGAAAAATATACAACATTTTTTCATTTGTTCATTGTGTTCCATTTTGCACTTTTCAAGTTAAGTGCAAAGCCACAAGAAATCATTTTCACTCCTGCAATTTTTAAAATCTGGGGGGGCAGAGGGGGGCAATGACAACACAGGAAATCAAATAACTTCAGGTTTCCTGGGTTAATCAAATGCAACATTTTTTCATTTGTTCATAGTGTTCTATTTTGCACTTTTGAAGTTAAGTGCAAAACCACAAGAAATCATTTTCATTCCCGCAATTTTTAAAATCTGGGGGGCAGGGAGGGCAATGACAACACAGGAAATCGAATAACTTCAGGTTTCCTGGGTTAATCATCAGATTTAGTGCTAGAAAGTATTAAATTGTTTCTTTTCCTGCAGCTCTTAAGTCTTAATGTTAGTAAAGTCCCACTTATTCTGTCAAGCACTCTACTAGGGACCCATGAGTGTGATGCTCCAGTTGCATTTGTCAAAGATGTTTGGTTTTCCAATTGCTCCAGCAAAACTCCACAAACCAGAAGAATGAGTTTTAATCAACTCTGCAAGTGTTTCTTCCCTCTCTCCCAAAAAAGAAAAACATGTAGGAAATTCTACAACATACTAGTGCTCAGAGAGATAATCTACCTCTAGAGGAAAACATACTTAAATAGACAATTCTTCAGTGCTAAGAAGTGCCCCAATCCTGCTCATACTTAAGCACTTCTAAATCTGTAGAATGGATGAAGTTCTAGACAGAACATAGACAAAAACGGAAATCGTTTTCATTACTTCATTAAGAGGTCTTAACTAGTCCTCCTTTGTCTGTGTAGCATACACATAGCAAAAAGTATTGTAAATAACTGGTTTGGTTTTAAAGGATATATGCATCATTTGCTTCATAGAAAAAAATCGTCTCACAGCTACAATTCACATGTTCATGTTTCTAACACTCAAATTGAAAATAAATATTAATAGAGAATAGATCTGTTCTTCCATCCTTGTCAAAGGAAATTAGGATGAGGAATGCAACAAGCTCGGGATGATGAACTGGAAGCCAAGGCTAGTTCTGCCTGGTGTAATAAAAGTCTATTACCAAGAGTTTACTCACTGCAGCATAAACAACTGCCCATCAAACATGTACTTCATCTTATTTAGAACCACGTAGCTGATACTGTGACACCTGAAGAACACTACTCAAATCTTTGTTTCTGATATCAATCAGGTGTCTGACCTAGGCTGCGATTTCTTTGCATGACAGCATCACAGACAAATTTGGACAGTAAAAAGGAGTTAATCATACAAATAGGTGAGTTGTGTCTACAATACCTGATTTGCTTTTCTCCTATAGGTCTGCCTTGAGCATCGAGTGCTGTCTCGAGTAAGAGGCCCCCATTCAGGGTGCTCTGTAATAAACGCTGGAGCTGATGAAGGACAACTGCTTCACAGGCTTCAAGGTCCTCTTCTTTCAAACTGCCAGCCTGATTACAAAAGCTGCAAAATAAAGCAGGTGCTGCATGAAATGTTTATTTAAAGCCTAAAGAGATAGCTAGGATAGGTTTAGATACAGAATGGGTAATAATTCTTTGGCTAATAGAATAAGTGGAACAACGTAGACAGAAAAATACATAGTTAAGCCTTCTGAAAAGACAGTGAAGAGCAGGGATGTTAAAGATAAGGCTTGGAAAATATTAAATTTAATTTTAAGCTTTTGTTTTTTGACCGAGAGTCACGTTACTCCTGAAAAAGGGTTTCTCTTTGTGAAAGCAACCTAACATGAGCAAGTTAATCAGCTGAAAAGACAGTTTGGATCTATCTCAAGGAAAGAGCAAGGGTTTCCCTCCACCCCTTAAAAGCAGTCACTAATTACTCTTAACATGAACAGCTCTACAAGGTCTAATTGCCATAAGTGTTGCACTGAAAGTATCTATCGCCTGTTTCTAGAGAAAATATTCATATGCATTTTACTGAGGAGATGAGATTTGATGGCCATATACCACAAAAAGAAAGAGATTAGCTTTATGGAGAGAACCATGAAAACATGTTTAACAGGACAGAAAACTGATCTGATTAGCATCCAGGAGCTTGTTCACACGCATACTGTTAAACCCTGGTGTAAAAACAAGAGGCACCTGCACACATCCATTAAGGGAGCTGTTGTGATGACACTATTTCTTGTCCAAGCAGCCCTGAATATGCTACAGTCAAAGCAATTATGCTGCAGGACACCTAATCTAATGGTAGGCTGTACAGGTCAAGCCTCTTGGAAGCCCTTTTCCCATCATCTCCGAGAAATATTCTAACAATTTTTACTCGTAACTCAAAGAAGAAATTATTTTTCTGTTTATTGCTCTTTACCTCAGTACAAGCATTATTAGCCACTTTACTGAGACAAACCTGCACTTGGAAATAAGTATTTGCTTCACTTAAGAGATCTGCAGAGCAAGGTTGCAAGAAGTGATAAATTTAAGGAGTATTTGTTGAAATAATTTGAGTATGCAGTTCTAAGTGCCATATTTCAGCTCTCTGATGACATTAAAACAGTGGAAGGGGAGGGAGGCTTCTTAGCAACTGCAAATGTTTATTCGCAGGAGCTCACATGCTCTCTGCACCAGTCATTTGTCACCAGAAGAGTGAAGACTAGCTCCCATCTCCAAAGGCTACTGTACAGCTGCTAGGTAACAACCTCTAAGTCATTATTCACCTGAATTAAATTAAAACCTTGTAAGTCATCAACAACGAAATTACTACAAACATTACAGCTAGATGTACTACAGCAAGCAAACAAAAATAAATGAGATGGGATTAAGGGATAGGAAACATTATAATCTTCTCTCATTTCTACTAACTCAGAACAGCAGCAACAGCTCAAATGAAAAGGACATTAACCTTATTAGCTGGTTCATCTTTGCAGCACTTGTGCTTCCTCTCTGGTACAACGCCAGGCACCTGGGACTTCCCATCTCCACCAAATCTTCTACCAATTGCAGTAAACGAGAGAATCCTTCAAGGGTCAAACTATCCCTGCAGATAGATCAGAAACAGCATTTAAAGATTAAGTTATTACAGGCATTTTAAACACATTTCCAACACAAACTGCAAAAGTTAACGCCCTCATTTTGGCTGTTAGGCTCCCACAAAAGTGCTTCACAGAAGAGCTCAAAACATAGGCAGGAATGAAAACTTGAGACAACAGAACAGACAGTGAGATACAGAGAACTCCTAGGGAACTTCAAAGATAATACAACCACTTCCATATACCATGTATACCATGTATGGTCTCAACTTAAAAAAGACAGATAGATGCTGCTGGAGCTCTGTAGAAAAAACTGTTCTCTGAAGTCTCCCAGATCAGTTTTCATTCAGAAAACACTCACCCATGAGGAAAATGGGGAAAAATATGAAAAGGAAACTGCACAGGAAAGTTTCAGAAAAGTGGATATCAACTAAATAATCTAAGTTGTCATTCAGAAAACTCACCCATGAGGAGAATGGGGAAAAATAAGAAAAGGAAATTACACAGGAAAGTTAGAAAAGTGGATATCAACTAAATAATCTTTTTCACCATCTAATGTAGTGTTTCTGCTTCTGGTGAGAAAGGAGAATCTGAAAGAGAAGATTCATTGCCTGGAAAAACAATTCCATGACTAATACAGATTTCAAGAAGTCTGGGAAGACATGTTAGAAAATGAATTTTCAGGGGTCTTGAGCGATAATTGACACATTTATTCTTGTAATAGGCCAGGGAGAGGACAGGCCACGCAGGACCA